TAGCGGGGGCGAGTGTCTCGGGTTGTGCCTGGTCATCGTTGCATCTAGTGAAATGCTCCCATACAATCAAGAGTCTCAAATAACCAATTCTGCTGAGTAAGCTCTACTCACTGCTTCCCCCTTGGGGTGGGGGGAGATATTTTCCCATCAAAGTGAGAAGATAAAAAACCAATATCCGGGGATATAACCCAGTCAGTGGACCCTGGACAGTTCTCGTAACGGAGTTGGCTAAACAGCCTTCATTCCAAACCAAGAAGAGGCATATGAACCACACGCACTCGCAGCTTCTTGGTCATGATAGTAGATAAATTGGGCATCGAGGTGTATTGGGCACCTTGAACTTTTAACCTTGTTCTATGGGCGTATGATCCGATGCACTTGATACTGACCCTCAATGGAATGCGGTTTTCACACACGGGTCCCGCTACCTGGCGGGTCCGGCAATGGTTAGACATAGGCTCCGATTGTGATTTCCCTAAGAACATTCCCCTACTTTAACCCGGGCCACCTGGCAGTGTCGTACCCTCGAGCAAATCACAACCTGTGTTGTGTTTCCAGTTAGAAGAGTTTTTTTACTTTACTTTCAAACTCATCCAAATCGCATGTTGATTGCTCATTGCATTTCACGGACGCAGAATCTCCTTGATTATGCAAGGCTAAATTTTACACAGCAATTCAGTTGATGAATGGACCAAATGCGCTTCCCAGGCCCGTATCGCTTGTTTGCTTGCTTGATTGCACGAGAGTCCACGACCAGATCACATGCGGTTCAGTGGGTACACCTATTGAGCACACACTGTGTGTGACAAGAGCAGAAGATGCGTGTGTGACTGGAGCTGACAACGCAATATTAGCATACACACATACACACTCGACACCACCACCATCAGGTTTTGAGAGCGGACCGATGGACATTTATGGTCTATCGATCAGTAAGCAATTTGTCTGATGAGCACAAGGGCACGTGCGTATGTATGCGTGTGTGTGTCTCAGTGAATACTGTTTACGCACACAACGCAAGGTGTTTTCTTATAACAGAACTGACTAGTACCAGATGGTCGATGGTTGTTACATGGAATCCTCACATTTTTGTATTACCCGTGAGAAATGAGATAAAGTGAGATA